CTAGGTAGATCTTGATTGCAACAACAAGAAAAAACTTTCCAGTTGAACTTTGTGCTCCATCTTGAACACAAAGTCATGTAGATTTAAATAAGCATTGTATGCTCATGAATCAGGATGAGAACCAGCCTCATTAAAGTACATTAAATTTCTTTTTTGAGAAGTAAAATTGAGGCCAAATTTTAGAAGGTTTTAAAATAGTACACTGGCATTCCTTTTGAGTAGGTGAGTAATATGAAATTAATATGAATAATAAATATTGTTATAGGAAAGAAAAGGATAGGAGTATGTCTCATCTGTTAGATTAATTAAAATGTGAAATTATGTAACCAGTTGAATACTTCATAGTTTATTAATTTATGTAAGTATCTGGTGAGTTTTTATCATATGTCAGGCACTGTCCTCGGTGCTGATAATAAAATGATAAGCAGAAAAGGGGGATAGAATTAAAGAATTATGTGATATAAAGGATAAAATAAGGTTAGTAAAAATATAAACTGCCATTTAATAGGATTGTAGAAGGGTGAAGGATCAGCACAGGGGAGGAAGACTCCAGATGAGATGGATTGACATAATAACTGGAGCAATAGGATTAGGTCTGTCAGAGATGATGAGACTGGTTCAGAATACAGCAGGGTTAAGAGTTACTATATGTAGGGTTGCTATGAGCTGCAGGCAACTTGATGGCACATAACAATAACAACAACAACAGAAATAAATAGCCATACTTGAAGAGAAAGAGACCTGCACTTAAAAAGCATAATAATAATACAGGAACACTAAAATAACAGGTCAGGTTAGCTTTAAGAGTTGTCTACAAGATTCACCAGAACAAAAAGTCAAGTATATCTAATACGATTTGCACACAGAACCAAATAAATACACTAATGCTAGAATTGTTGTCAAGAAAGGACTGAAAATGTGTCAGACAAGCGCTTACAATTTATTGACATAATGATTCAAGGAATAAGGAAGGTATAAACCTAATTTGATCAGGAGAGTCAATAGCATTGGTTTTCAATGACCAAATGACAAAATTATAAAAGAAAGTCAGAAGGATTTTTGTTTTAATTTTAGAATGTAAATTCAATAACACATATTGGAAACTCCTAATATATACTAAGCCTATTGTTTTCCTTACTGCTGTTTATTTGAGTATGTTATACAAAGAAGAAAAACTTTTTTTCCCTTTAACTCTGCCCATCTTTGTAAGTTGGGTTGTGGTGGTGGTGGGAAAAGAAGAAGAACCTGAGATCAATGAGCAGGTAGGAGAGAGGCAGAAAAACCAGAAAAGAGCAGTGTCTTAGAAGTCAAGCATGCAACAAGTTATAATAAGGCCAATTATGGAAGAGAGTTCGTGGGGGGACAGTGTGGAAGTAAAGCAGGATGACTAAAATAGGAGTAAAAATGTTTTAGTGCTAATCTTTGAGAAAGTACTTAAATAGGATAAAATAGAGTTTAAAAAGTCAATGAGGAAGGGAATGGAGAATTGAAGGTAGGAGACCTATGCTTTTTGAGAGGTAAATTAAACAAAGGAAGAAAAGGAATACAATTCAACCAGATTGGTTAACAGATTCAAATAAAGGATTTCTTCACATTCTGATTTTCCTGGGTGAAGAGGGGAAAGAGCTAAAAACAGGTAGGGGAAAAAGGTTTTCATTTATGGCAGAATTTTCTCCCCAAATGGATAGATGATTCAAAGTCCTATAATTTTTCAGTCTTTTCACTTACTGTATTTCATTGAGAGGAGAATGCAGGAGGTGACTTATTATTTAAAACTCTCCAGCAGATGGAGCATCTTCATTGCTTTTCCATAGATATTTTTGGGATGGGAAGTGGTTGTGCAGCAGGTGACGGCAAGACACGGGTATATTTTTATGAAAGTAATTAGGAGATGCATAGATCTGAATTTAAATGCAACCAGAATTACTTTCAGGTCTCAGTAAAGTGGTTCTTCTAAATGTCTGCAAACGTTAATAAAATCTCGTTAAGTTTCTGTGGATCAGCTTCTTTAGCTTAATCAGATTTTCTTGACAGTTATTGCAATGTTGTGACAGCACGACTAAAGAATTTTTTTAAGTTATTTTAAGAAATAACTTTTATATTCATCCTCTCAAGTCTTCCTAAAAAAAGGGGTAGCTAATAAATACATATAAACAAAGAGTAAATTTGCTAAATTCTTACATAATATAAATTTGCATTAATGTTTATGACTGCTATTAATATTAATCAGTGAGCAACATAATAAAGTGTTTACGTGTCTCTGATTTGAAGGATGTTAGCAAGAAAATGTTCTAAAAGTTTCTTTATCATTAAGTTTGTGAAATAATTTAGGTTGTGGTGAATTAAAGCAAATATTTATATAATTTACAACTAACTAGTAACATTTTCACCCAAAAGAGTTATTTGAGACAATTTGGGGTACTAGTTTGTTTAAACTCTTTCCCTCGACTTTTTACTTTGAATATATAGGCAAAGCATAAATTTCCTTGGGCAATAAATATTGTGTACTTTTATTGGAAACGGAATGAGTCAATGTCAAAATGTTTGTTGAACCAAAACATATTGAAGTTTTTATGCTTGTGTTTCAAGAAGTTTGAAACACTGAGGAAATCAATACTGAACATTGATTCTTAGTTTCAGTGCTTTGCTGTCATGTCCAAGTTTCTATCAATTTTATTGTTCTCTATAATGTTTTCCAAACTATAAGGTTATGCTACAACAAGAATGAAGACGTTTTTAAAAATTCTTGTTTTCAAAACCACCAAAAGGTCCTCAGAAATTTCCCTTCTCCGGAATAAATAAATGTACAGGGCATTGAAACAGACGTGGGAGAGAACTGTATAAAAGGAATATATGAGGTATTATTAGCAAAACAAGAATCCAGGGTATAGTGAAGTGGTCGGGGAAGGGGGGCTGTATAACAATGAAATAACTTTTTTTTATTTTTTAAAGCGGACTTGGGGGAGGCGGGCAGGGAGGAAAATGTGCAACAATGAATGAATGAACATCCAAGTTCTTCATAAACTTTCATTAAAATCTCAATTAAGAAAATTTTCCTTCTCCGTAGCACTTTCAGTTGTTTAAAGGACTTGATTTGTGATCTGCACCCCGGAAGTCACAGTCACAAACTTTTTTTCAGCAGCGTCCAGTCCCGGGAGTGGGGGTGGAGGTGGGATGGAGTAGAGCCGTTGGATTTCAGACTCGTTCGTGTCTCTGTGGGGGATGACCTTGCTTCTCTGATCCCAGGTCCTCTGGTGAGGCTTGGAATCTGGAAGAGAAAGCAGGGGTATTCCTGGAATGTGAAAGGAGAGGCAGAGGTATTCGATGACGTCTCAGAGGAACTGCTAAGGGAGATGGAAAGGGGAATTTGTGTGGTAACTAGTGCCCTAGAGGACGTGGTCTGCAGGTCGTTTCTGGGCAAACCTCTGAGGTTGGATTCTAGCGGCGCTATACACCCTCCTCCTTCAGAGGGCCACGTCAGTGTGATACCTCGTACCACGACGTACACACGTCGCGTAAAACTGCGTGCTCGCGGGTGCGCATGCGCTCGTCGAGGGCCTGAGGTGAACCGCGTTCTACGGGGTCCCGTCGCGTGGAACTGTGGGTGCTCGCGGACGCGCATGCGCTCGTCGAGGGCCTGCGGTGAACCGCGCACTAGGGCTTTGCGTGGAACTGTGGGTGCTCGTGGGCGTGCATGCTCCCGTCTAGGGGCTGAGGTGAACCGCGCACCCGAGCGTCGTGTGGAAATGTGGGTTCTTTTCTAGGGTTTCACGTGAGACGAGAGGGGAGGACAGTAAGCGGGAGCACGCTTGAAATAGAGCGGGAAGCAGAGCGTTTGGAGTCTTACTTTGTAGTGCGGGTCGGTGTTCCCGTAAAAACATCCGCTTTTTGGATTTTGGGTGTTGATTTTATAAATAGATGAGTGCTGGTTTCTCCAGGTTTCACCTCATTGCTGAGTGAGTGAATGTATGTGGAAAGGGACATTTTAAGATATTTTTATTTTTAAAGGGAATATTCTTGTGAGAAATATGGATTTCCACACAGGGCCCAAACCAAAACCAAATCCCCTGGTGACTTGGAAAATTGAAGATGTTTTGCCACGCTGCTATAAACAGTGAGGAAGGCCCTTGAGTTGCCCTGAAGTTTGAGTCAACGATCACATTCAATAAGTTTTTTATTAGAAAGATGATTGCTTTATGGCCTCGGAAACTCAGTGGACGGTTCCGCCCTGTCACGTAGGGCCTACATTTTACAGCCTGGCAAATTTCATGGTAATTCAACCTGACCGGTCAGGGCTACTCAGTGGTGGACAATCCACTACATGGCAGAGATTAACAGATCTGAGTCCAGACCCTGAGTAGTAAGTAGGGCAGTCAGTCAACGCACGGGACAACAAGCATAAAGGTTGAGAGCTAGTGATAACCCTACAATACTCTAATCAACCTGTATCTATCGCTCCTTCCCTCCTTCCTTCTCTCTCTCCTTTCTCCCTCTCTTCCTCTCTCCCTCCCTCCTTTCTTCTCTCCTCTCTCTCTCTCTCTCTCTCACACACACACACACACACACGCACTGCCCCCGCCTGTGCCCACGCACTCACGGCGGGAGGGAGAAACAGTCACCATGAGCCATTCTGATTCTGATTAAGGGCTGGTAGGGAGTTTTAGTGGCCTAGAAGTTAAGGAATTGCACTGCCATCCTGAAGGCATGTGGTTTGAATACACCAGCTCCTCAGTGGGAGAAAGATGACCAGTCTCATTTGAAAACCACCTGGAGGGTCAACTGTGGGTGGGTTCTGGCTTGATGGTACACAACAACAACAGGGTAGGCATAAAGAAAGCTGTGGGTTGAAATGGTCCTATTCCTCCTTAGTTCTTGCTCCATCCACGTTCTTCTGTTAAGAGTACTGCATTAAAATTTGTTTTTGAATAGATAATTTTTCAGGAAAAAAATCTTCCTTTATCAATGTTATGGCTTTTTTTTTTTAAACTACAGTTTCCAAGATGAATGATAGCCTATTTGCCAGTTTGGACAGACTTTTGCTAGAATTTGGTAGGTATAAAATGGAAATAAATAGGTAATTATTTGATATTTTATCAGTGTGAAGTTATAAAATATTTATTTTAGTTTTTCAGTATGATCAAGACATAAGAACTAAAGAAGATATAATTCAACGAATTAACAGTGAGTAGACCAGAAAATATTTCCATTAAAAAAATTTTTTTTGTAAGGCAGTCTTGGAGTTGACTTGCTGTCTCCCAGATCTGCATAATAAAGTGCTTATGGATATTGAAAAAAAATTTTTGTACAGTTTTCCTGGTAAGGGTGATGATATGTGGCTAGTATATTGTAACTTCTGTGCTAGTTTTATCTAGTTATTAATGCTGGGCTTTTTACCCAAAGCAAAATAGTAATTATTTAGTGGTAATTTTGAATAATAAATTTCTGTATTTAGCAATTAATTATTTTATTTATAAGAATGTACGTAGAACAGAAATAATGCCTAAGTGCAGTTGAAAAGATGTCATTTGTTTAAATAATACAGGTTATTTTGAATATTTGAATATAGTTTGGGGTTTTTTTTAGAAAAATGAGGCAAGATTAATAGATGCTTCAGGAATAATTTTAAAAGATACATTACAAATGAAATGGCAAGGAGAATGGCAAACATAACTTGTAGAATTCTATATATAAACTGTAGAAACTTAAATTTTTTAATATTTCTGAAAAGATGGCATTTGATAGCCTTTTCTGCAAACAAAATTAGAGTATTAAGAGTTTGCTCTAACCTTGTTGAGAAATAATTTTCTTTTTTCATATGTTCTCTTGTTGTTGTTAGATGGCAATGATGAATAAGTGAGTTGAATGTGCCATGAATAATTAATTGATATATATATTTAATACATAGAAATGGAATATTTATAAATAAGTATTAGTTTAATAAATGAATATACATTATTTACATGTAAGCTCTTTTGGCATCATAGGATGAGACTGACCTTAGATATCATCCTTTTACATTAAAGAAGAGTGATGACAGAAATTTGTTTTTCTTCTATTTAAAATACAAGTCTTTAGCTTCTGGATCTAAGCTTAAGCCTGGTTCTGATTCTCTGCTTTAAGATTTGGCTCTTTCTGTTCTCTGATTTTTCTAGATAATTTGCCTTACTCTTCAATAACTATATTTGTTTATTTTGAATTTATGATTTCTATTTAAAATAAAGAAACATTTTCTATTTCCAGAATGTTTTGAAGATATTAAAGAAAACAAAGCAGCTATTTGTAAGATCCATGAAACTATAAATACAACAGATGAAGAAATTGGCCATTACTGTAAACATAGTAAAGAGATCAAAGACAACTGTAGTAGGTGAGTGTTTGAAAGAAACAAACCTTCACTAATTGTCATAACATTCTTTCCTTTAGTATTTCTGAGTTAGTAGCTGAAACATTGCTGCTTTGAAGTGGTATTCTATATTAGTAAAATGATTAATCAAGTCTTAAATTGTCTGGTTACACGTCACTACAAAAAATAACACTAATAGAAGGTTCAAAAAGGTAAATAAAAGTAAGGGAGTTAAGATACCACAAATTCAGATCTAATGAATATAATACAGAATTTCTTCTGTGTTATACCTAGCCTAACCTCCCTTCCCCTTCAGATCCTGACACTGGTCTAGGTGGTTGTAAAAGGAGGGAAAGTAACTGAAACTGACTCCTGTGCTGCTTGTAGCATGAGAGTTCGTATCAAACAATTATATTGTAGTTCACAAAATTGTTTCCACTATATTCCCGGTGCTGAAAGGATGCGGAAATGAGTGAGGCTCTCAGCATTATTTGGAGTAGGAAATAGATTTTATATCCTTGTATCTCTTTTTTTTTAAGATACTTTTATCAGTAGAGCACATTCTTTGTTAAAGGATTATGATTTAGATGCCTCTGGAAATACAAACTTTCTTATACATGTACAGAAATTATGCTAATTATAGAACAGAGTTCAGGTCTTTTGTGCAAAGCTTACTTTGAGTCATATTCGATTCAACACTTGACCACTGCTAAATGAGACTAGTGCTTTTATATCTGGAGGAACATTCTTCTACTTTGCACATCACTCCTTGTCAGTGTGCCATATGAAGTAACATGAGTTTGCTGTGATGCTGAACCTTGTTCTATGGGGATCAAATACCATAATGGTTTCCCATTTTGTACAGTGTTTGGTGGAGCTCCCAATTGTGAAACAGGTTTGGAAGCAGGACTGGCATCCACTTCCTAAACCACATGCCTCTAAAAACTCTCTGAACTTGGAGAAACATCAAGTCGACCTTGACTCAATGGCAATTAAAAACAACAACAACAACATAACAACAACAACATACCTAACTTCAGTATATAAAATTCTTACTAGAGTAAGAAATTTAAAATAATTTCTGTTTTTTAATATTTAGGTTTTGGTTTTGTATAAAATAACCTAGCCTAAAATTACAAATAATGCAATGCAGTGAGTTACCACAAATCATAACTGACTCTCTAGCGGGTTTTCCGAGGTGTAATCACACGGGGGGGGGGGGATTGCCATCTTTCTCCTGAGGAGTAGCTGGTGGATTCAAACTGTCTGCCTTTGGGTTGGCAGGCACAACGCCCACCTGCTAGGCCTCCAGAATTCTCAGCCTAAAACTGGTAGTTTTTCAGACTAAAAGTATTGAATATCTTAGAGCCTTTTCAACACTGTGTCAAGGTCTAGATTCTAGTAGTTAAGTCTTCAAAACAGAATTTTTGTGACTAATGTGAAGAATGGTGAAATGGAAAATGTTACATATATATATCATACACTTTAAAAGGGTTAAAATGAGGGGAGCCTAGTGGCGAGAAGCTGTACTGCAATCCCAAAGGTACACGGTTCAAATCCACCAGATGCTCTGCCGGAGAAGGAGGGATAATTTCCTCCTGTACCAGTCAGATTTGATTTGACGGTACATGCACAAAAAAAAATAATAAAACAAGGGTTAAAATGGAGGGAGGGATTGGTAAAGGAAAGGGGAAAAGTCTAGTGTGGAAAGTGTAATGTATTTAAACTTTATGAACTTTGTATGTAAACCAGTAGAAATTAAAATTTAAAAAATAACTGGAGGGTTTAAAAAATGGACTTCCTGTGAATAGGACTATACTGTGTATTAAAGGTATAAAAATATGTTAGTTTTCCGAACTTAATTTTTTTGTAAGCCATTGTATATCAAGTACTATACTACTAAATTTGTTATTCAAAATTTAGAGGAAAGGATACTAGAAAGATATTCCATGTATTTGATTGACTATACAATGGCATTTGACTACTTGGGCCATCATTCGTTACAGATATTAATGAGACTAGTGGGAACTCTAGAACCTTTAATTTGACTAATATAAAATCTCTTTGTCTGTGGACCAAGAAGCAGACATTCAAACAGAAAAAGGGAATGTTACAAGGTTTAAGGGGATGGATGCTACAGTCTTTTCAGTAATTTCCTATGCATCTGAAAGTTGGACAATAAATAAGAATGATGGAAGAAAAAGCAATTTGTTTGAATTGTGGTGTTAGAGTATTTAATATCCCATGGACTTCCAAAAGAAAAGCCTTTCTTTGAGAGGCAAAGATGGTGAAACCTTGTCTCACGTACTTTGGGCATGTTGTCAGGAGTAGCTAGTCCTTGGAAAGAGACGTCAAGCTGAGGAGGATAGAGGGCCAGCAAAAGAGTGAAAGACCTTTGACAAGATGGATTGACACAGTGACTCTACCAGTGGCCTCAAGCATATCAAGAGATGGTGAGGATGGTGCATAGGATAGAATTCAGGTCTGTTATTTATATGGTCACTATGAGTTGTAGCAGATTCAGTGACACCTAATATAGCAATAGAAGGTTTAAAAATTAGGAAAAGTATCCGTCAGGGATGTATTCTGTCTCCATACCTTTTCAATCTGTATGCAGAACAGATCATCTGAGACGCTGGGCTATACAAAGAGGAATGTGGCATCAGGATTGGTGGAAGAATCATCAAGAACCTGCGTTATGCAGATGACACAACCCTGCTTGCTGAAACTGAGGAGGACCTGAGGCACTTGCTGCAGAAGATCAAGGACTACATCCTCCTAT